ATGAGTGTGAACTGGGCCTGTTCTATGAGATTTGTAAAGGGTTACAATTCTCTAGAGCACTCATGAAAGACCAGGTTGTTCAGGGCCAAAATGAACACAATAGTGAGAACTAAACTGTGTCTGATAATATACTGTATGAGTTCTATTGTCTTGGTTTACACAAGTGATTGAACAATTCAAGATGTCATGTTCACTGATCAGCTAGTAAATCCGATAGTGTCTCATAAGGGAAGGTTCAAAGCCAAAAGCTACCTATCATTTGCAGAATATTCCCAATTCTATAATTAGATTATGTTATTGCATTTTCTCTCCGTCAAATTCCATTCATGTGGGGGATTATTTGAATTTATGGTTTTTTTAGGCTTATTTTAGGCCAACTTTGAGCCCAAATTTGAATGGGGTCTACACATCTTTTGAGGTGGGTCCAAAGAGGTGATATATTTCTTGCTGCACGGCAAGTCACACGGTGAAGATGTTTCTTCAAAATCATTTATAAGTGAATAAGAACTTGACGTCGTTTTTGGATTCGTGGAATGGACAATTCAGTAAGTAAAATATGGGTTTCCTTGAAATGGGTTGTCCTATATTGAAACTTTAAGAGAGCTTGTATATATATATAAGCTCTAGGTGGCAACACTTGAGTTGGGCCTCAAGGGGCATCCCAAGTTTGTAGAAGGGAGGAGTTATGGATAATGTGAACCTTAGCCCAAACCACCACACATGTGCGCGCCGCCGCTACCGTCCGTCCGACGGGCCGGTCGAGCCGAGCCGTGCCGGGCACGGGTGTGGGTTGTGGTTCTGGTTGGTTCTAACATTAATTTTTTGGACAAAATTTATTTGAATTTTTTCAAATTCTTGCAGGAAATTATTTGAATTTCAAAATGTATTTGAATTCAATTTTTTTTGTCCAAAAATTGTGCCTCTTCCAAGTTCGAATTCCACAAAATTCCCAACAGATAAACTGTTTTTAACAAATTTAAATTACCCAACAGTTATCTATCTAAAACTGCTAGCAGATCTGTTCAAATTCGAACTGCACCTAATCCAGTTTGAAAACAGATCTGTTTATCCCTTTTGTACCTATTCGGACAAATCTAAAGGTCACCTATTTTGCCTATAAATACTACATCATTTCTAGCAGTTTGGGATTCATAAATTCTTTTGTTGCTTTGAATTTTTGCTCTTTTTGCATTACTTTACATATTAGTTTTATAGGAAAAATTTCAGGGAGTTTAGAATACAAATTTTGTTCGCCGTACAGATTGTTTGGAATGCTACTACAATTTGTGAAGATCATTGTATTCTAGGAGATAGACGTCATTTATCCGTAAACACCGTAGCAGAGCGAATTTGTCTTAAGGACAGAGTGTCTCACACTCGACTTGATCTTTTTGTACTTTTACATTTCGGTAAAATAAATTTAATAAGTAATTTATTTTTATTTGTTTGATTTGTTTCAAGTTATTTATTTTACACAGAAGATTATTCCAACAAGCTTAACTTTTAAGAGTGATTGGTAGCTACAACAGTGCTTCAGAGTTCACCAAACAACCATTTTATTGTTTTCTATGACTCTCTTCATACTATCTCTACAATGATCTACACTTTTCAAATCTGCATGGCTTGAGCTACACCGCTGATTGGAGTTTTTAACCAGGTAGTACTGTTATCTATTTATGTCTCCATTTTGTGAGTTGTGTTTCTAGATTTAGTCAATTTTTTAGATTAATACTTTAAAACATAAGGTATAATTTTTATTGTACAATTTTTTTGTTGTTGTTGGTAGTAATGGGTAAAATTCTCATATTAATTACTGTCTATCTTCTATTTCAAATAGTTAACCTGTACTATTGATTTAGTATTTTAGATTGTTGTTGTTGCTTCTCATGGTGGTATGTGATTGGTTTGTTTGTTAAGTGAGATATAAGTGAGTAGCAAAGACGAAAATACAAGCCTTTGTTTATAGGGTTTTGGTTTCAATTTTGATGTTAATGAATGGGTGTGTTGTATAGTGATATTAATTTTTTTTTTTGTTTTTTGTTTTTATTTTAATTTTGACTCTCAATTAGGTGTGTTGAGCATTGCAGCAAGGGCTTGAGGTTTCTACTCAAATTCAATGGATTGTTCAGCTGTCTGTATTGTCTTCTTTTAGAAGTGATATTTTGTTAATTGTTTCAAATATATTGTAAATGCTTTAATTTCCTTATGTTAAACCTAGACGTGCATTTTACTTTCTTTAATTTTCAATTCTTAATTATCTCCTTCAACTTTATTTGATTGGCAACAAAGTTGAACAAATAAAACAATATATAACTAATGTTTTTAATCTTATGTTTCTTATACTTGAATGTTAAATAATGCATTTATCAGTCTCTGTACCTTATTATTTTGAATGTCGATACAAATCGTTTCTTATACTTGAAAATTAGGTATGTAATCGGTTGGGTACAGTATGGTCGGTATTTAGATCAAAAATTTCATCGAACCGATAATATTAGTTTTATTATTTTGAATGCCGATACAAATCGTTTCTTCCATCAAACCGCACTGAACTGAATCGATTAAATCGGTTCAGCTCAATATGGTTGAATTGATTTAAGACTTTTTAAACTTGAATCGCTTTTAAATATAATCACTAATCTATATTTAAAAATATTAAATTAGTTATTTGTTCACAATTTAAAACATATCCAATTCATCTATTTAATAAATACTTTTCAATCCTAAATTAACAAAAATAAAAACAAAAAAAATGTTAAAAAATACTAAGGATTGAAGAATAATGAGTTAGAATTAAAATTATATAAGAGTTTACCAACTTTTGGAATGTTCTAAACTAATGCACTTTTAGACCTTTTATTAAAAATGTGTATAAAAGCAGAGAAAATGAATAGAAAAGTAGAATGTTGATAGATGTTGATTGATGTGACCAAAATAAGTGTATGTATATAAAAAAAAATACATTTTTTTAGTGCATGCCAAACAAGTACTTAGGTTATAAAGACGATAAAATTAATTAATTAAGGTTAATAATTTATTATACTTATTAGTATCATTATATTATTAGATTATGGGGTTGTTTGGGGCATCCTAAATAAGTGCACTTTTTGACTTTTTGAACTAAAAAGTTGAGAAAAAAAATATGTTTGTTTGGGTTAACTTTTTGACTTTTTATGAAAAAATATGTATTAAAATATTGTATAAATTAATATGTAGTTAGAGTGTAGGAGAAGATTAGAGGTTGACTTGTACGGCTGTCATTTCTGCAAAGCGGAATAGATGGTAATAAGTAATTGTCTACTTTTTGGGCATTGCACTGGACGGCGCTATTGGACTCGTGGGGGCCATCATGGGTCCCGTTTTGATAATATGAACCGTCAATGTGTAAAACTCGTCGAGTACTATATACCTGTAAAAAACTACGTTAATCAGATATCGATAGCTATCTGATCAGATTTATTTTTTTTCTAATCGTTAATTATAACATTTTTATTTTTTTATACAAAACTGATTTGATCATGTAGTTATCAATATCCGATCAATGTGATTTTTTATAAGCATATAGTACTCGATGAGTTCTACATATTGAACGGTTCATATTATCAAAACGGGACCAGTGATTGGTCCCCATGGGCCGAACAGCTGTGCGATCAAATTACACTTAACTGTGCAACTTTTTGTCACACAACCGTAGCACAGATCTGATTTTGTTAGATTGATGTGTTGGTGAATAGTGATAAAATTAATTTTTTAATATTTTTTTTTTTTTGTAAATAATGATAACTTTTTAATTTTTTTAGTTATTTTTTGACTTTTTGTCTTATTTTAAAGATGCCAAACCAGGCCAAAGGGGTTGTTTGGGACATCCTAAATAAGTGCATTTTTTATCTTTTTGGACTAAAAAGTTGAGAAAAAAAAGATGGATGTTTGAGTTAACTTTTTTATTTTTTACGAAAAAAATGTATATTAAAAATTTGTATAAATAAGTGTATAAGAAAAGTTAGTGAAGTAGCCCGTACAGTCTGGCAGAGTAGTGGGTTGATTAGGAGATAGGAAATGGTTGTCTCCTTTTCGGGCTTGAATTGGACGTTATTGTTCGGCTCGTGGGGGCCCACCACGGGTCCCGTTTTGATAATCCGAGCCGTTCAATGTGTAGAACTCGTCGAGTACTAAATATTTTTAAAAAATCAAGTTGATCGGATATTGATAGCTATGTGATCAAATCAGTTTTGTATTAAAAAAATAGACAGTGAACAAATTAACAGTTGACAAAAAACTAAAAAGATGAGATAGTTATCGATATCCGATCAACGTGATTTTTTACAGACATATAGTACTCGATGAGTTCTACACATTGAACGGTTCAGATTATTAAAATGGAACTCGTGTGGGCTTCCATGGGCCAAACAACACCGTCTAGTCCGATTAAGCACCGGAGGCAAGCTGCTCCATTTTGTTAAGTCACCATTTTCAACGCTGCAACTAATCTCAAACTTTTGTACTATTTTTGATGGTCTAGATTCACAGACTGGTAGAGCAGACGCGCTTGACTGGAAGCGAACATATGCCATAATCGTAGGTGTTGCCCGAGGCTTGCTTTACCTTCATGAACAATCACGCAGTGTAATTATCCATTGTGACATCAAACCTGCCAACACCCTAATAGATGAAAATTGGGTCCCCAAAATTTTTGATTTTGGCACGACCAGACTCTTCTCTCAAGATCAAATTCATGTTAATATCAGTGAAGTTGTTGGTACCTTGTATGTGTTAAGCATTTAATTTTTCTTATTTTTCCTAGTATTTTTTTTTTTTAAGCAATTTGATTTGGGGTACAATTTAAATTCCCTATATATTGTCACTCAATCCTATTATTTTCAAAGAAAAAAAAATCAAATCCATCCGATCAGTGTTTTGTTGAGTTTTCAAAAACTTTTTTTTTTTTTTTTTTTTGGTTTAAACCAAACCAAACTTTTTGAAACTTGATTTGTTGTTACTATATGCTTGTACATGGAATTAGTTGGTATTTGGCTCCCGAGTACAAATGTGGAGATGTCTCTCCAAAGGCGGACACATACAGCTTTGGGATAGTGGTTTTGGAGTTGATAAGCGGTCAAAGGAATTGGCTTTTCCATCAGCGGTCTTCCAATGGTCAAGATCTACGGGATAGGGTAAGCACACCAGATTCACTTTTTTAATTTGAACTGAGTTTGCTTTGCAATTAGCCATTATCATACAAGAGAGGTGTCTCTAACTGAGCATGTTGCTAAGTTGTCACATGATTATTTGTTGTTGACGAAGGCAAATGAGCTCTACAAGGAAGGAAGGGTGTCGGAGTTTATGGACCGGAAATTGATACCACCGGCTGTCCTTGATCAAGTACAATTGTGCGTACATATTGGGGTAATGTGCACCGAATATGATCCAAAACTACGACCCACCATGGGTCACGTTTACTCAATGCTGTCAGAGAACCATAGCAACAACAGCACCCTAGTTGAAGAACCGATGAGAGATGGATCATCATCAGCAGCAACATCATCCACAGCTCGAAATTCGGGTGAGTCTAATTCCCATATCTATTTTGTTTAAAACTGATCACAGTGCTACTGCTACTTCCAAGGGCCCTTTTATGTTTAATGATTTTCCTCTAAGAATTTTCTTTCTAGTTGACAAAATCGGGACTTACTAGTTTTATCTAGTCCAACTGGTGTTTCTTTGCACGAGTGTTTGTTGAAACCATTGCATAGCAAAAATTTCACCTTCTGAACCTCAAATCAAAATATTTGTAAGCTATCTTATACTAAATCAAAATATTTCTATATAATTTATTATTTGGTTATACTTCTCCTATAATGTACCCTACACAAAATATATAATTTTGAGACAAAATTTCTAATATCAATCACAAAATATGTAACCTCACCACAAATTAGCTTAACAAAATATCCAAAATTTTGTGGTTAATGTTGCAGAAGTTTATAGTTTAGTTATGACATTTTTTGATATGTCAATTTGTGACGAACTTAGCATTTTAGGATTGATGTTATGAAATTTTATAATAAAATTACACATTTAGTGGTAGGATGCATATGGTATGCACACCTAAAGGAGTGCACACCATAACATTTTTGAATTTTTTTTATTATTTCTTGTGTGGTGTTTTGGTATGACTCATCATTCCTTTTTAGCTATAATTGAAAAGGATTTATTGATGACATTTGTGGTAATAAAAAAAAATCACAAATGTCATAACTTGTATATACATATTCTAGATTGACTCTATATATATACATACATAGACCTCCTATATATATATACACACACATAGACCTACAAAATAAATAACTACTGTGATGAACATCATAGACCCAACTAAAGTGGAGAAGAGAAGCTAGTTCCACACCTATAGGGGTGTAATTTTGGCCCCATCCTCAGGCCTCACGGGCTCCTACCAAAAATCAGGTCTGGCCAAGCCAATCTTGTGAAATCTCGACCTAGGCCCAAGCTCAAGTCCAAGCCTTAGGGAGATTCGAGCCCGAGCCTGGGTCGGGCCTGACAATTATTTATTTATTTATTTTCATTTTTTCACCAAAATCACTTCAAAATAAGGTTGGACCTTGGTTGGGTCGTACAGGTCGAGCCTCAGGCAGGCTTGTAACGCGTCGAGCCGAGCCAAAAAGTGCACAACCCAAGCCCAAGCCCGAGCCCAGGGGTTCGAGGCCGAGCTTGGTCGGGCAACTGACAAGCTTCGGGTGGGCTTCAAGCCCAGCAAACCATTTTTACACCTCTACACACATTATATACTAGCGGTTGACACACACAATGCTTGTGTGTAACATGCCCGGGGGGTACCCCCGTGTGTTAAACAGTTCGGACTTTCGAGATCTCTCTGATCTAGTCTCACGAGTGCAATGTGAAACATAGATGAGAGTCCAGATTTGGCAACTTTTATTGAAAATCCATTTTATTGCAATTTTGTCAAAAATAGACCGCGTCATCAGATTTCAGAGCCGCCACCTAATATTTTTGGAAAATTAGGAAACCCGTGACTCATGCCAAGGCCACTATTCGTCGTAACTAAAGATGCTTGGCTCGAAACCTTAAGTATGAGAGGGGAAGGTCAATAATGAGCACCCCCGCTCATCCGATCAAAGATTGGCCTCTACTAAACCATGATATGAATTTTATTTTCTTTATATGTTCATATTCTGATTATTTAACAAATTCTAAAATTTATTATGTGAAACATACAAATATAGACTAGTTTACTCAAATTGGAACAATTCAATTTCATGTTTGTTTTTCGAAAAGGGTTTGAATTTGCCACTTAACAAAGTGGGCTTAAAACGTACTTTCGTTGAATCATTCCAATTCACGCAACAAGCCTTCGTCCACAGGTATTCAAACAGTTTATCATTTAAACAATTAGCCTCATGATAGGATGCTAAACATAATAAGAAAAACACACACAAACAGGATGCTAAAGCATAAAAACACACATGTTTGACGTCCCGTGAACAAGCTACAAAACAAAGTTAGTAAAAATATGCATGATTTTATATACAGAATCCTAATGCAATTCACTCATGAGAATGCTTCTAAAGATCCGGCTTCTAAAATATAGCATGTGAATTATCTCAAGAACATGAGGTAGCGCATAGAATCACAAAAAAATTGATTACATCCGCAAATATAAAATTAGTCGAAGCTTAATGCATGAAACATGGATGTAAAGCATAGATATGCATGATGTCAGATATATACATATATACAGTTAGGGAAAGCGATTAAAGAATGGAATAGAAAGAAGCGGGGTGGGGAATTATTACAACATTTTACATATTACAGATCCGAGAGAGGTGAATAAAATAAAATCCTCACAAACACTCAAAAATAAAAATAAAAAAATAAAACAAAATAAAAACATGTTCCTTTTCCTCTGCCTCATGAATTATGTTTTGCAGCATGCTCATAGTCTCTCGTATCTTGTCCGTCCTTGATCTCTTGTTACCTGAGAACACAAACCCGATTCTCCAAAACCGCTATTTTTGCCATCCACATAACTAGATTGCGCATCGTCTTCATAATCGAAGCATTTTTGGGGTTTAACAGAGCTTGCAGTAGTGTTCATGAGTGGTGGCACATCAGAACCTCCATCAAACAGTTTCCTCTTTTTAGTAGGCCCACCCGAACTAGCAACTTCTTCATCACTTTTCTCAAGCCATTCTTGTTTATCATAAACAGTCATCGTACTGGGCAAATGTCCAGTGCTTGCTTCTTCGCCACCTTCAGAATAATCGCTGTCGTCGTACTCATCATCAGAGTAAAGCAATGCATTGAGCTCTTCGATGTCTTCATGCATCTCACTGCCATTCCTTGTTTTGTTTTCCAATCAATCCAATTCCTATTCCAAATCTTGGAATCAGAGGAAATTCAGGAACAATATGTGTGGAGTCTTCTTCTTCACCCATGTCTCTCGTGCACTGCTTGACCCCCCATCAGAGGACCTCTAACACGAACCAGTAGGCAACCAGAAATCAACACGCTAGTCCCAACCAAACCAGCGTCACACCATCAGCCGGACACGTCGGCAACCTCTGAAAACCCACCAGCAGCTAGCAGAGAAGAACCAAACCAGCGCTCGCACAGGAATATAATCTGCTTCAAAACAGATGGACTGATCTGCGATTAGCGTGTTATTGATGATGATGATCCTTGGAGTCGTTGTTGCTGATGAGTTTGATGTAGTTGTAGTAGTTGTTGCTGTTGGTGTAGTTGGTTTTGTTGGTCTACTAGTACTGGGTTGAGCTTGAGTGGTTAGTATTGCCTTTATCGGAAGCCATGGAAGAAACAAGCTTGCTTTCTTGATGATGATCAGCTACTTCTTCCACCACGCCACCTCTTGAGAAACCCATTAAGGATGAAACAAATTTGATGCTCTTTTTTTAGACTCTCACGCTCATCTTCTGATCCTCACCATCAATACCTCTATGGGTCTAGAGAGCTAGTCCGTTCTTATTTCATTGAGAGAGAGAGAGGGATATATGTTTCTATTTTGGTCTGTGTGTGTAGGTGTATTTTTCGCTCAGCCAAAAAATGCTCTCTGCCCGTGCACATTGAGAGAGAGAGAGAGAGAAAGAGATCTTACTTTTGTGTGTTGATGTCTTGGTTCTTCTTCTCCAACCACGTTTGAACCCCACCCACCAAATTCCATATCTCTATCTCTTTCTCCGTTTGTTTTTCAATTTCAGATTGTCTCCTTTTAAAATAATACACCACCCACTCCATGTTTAACCAAACACACTTTAACAACCACTCCGCACTCACTCATTATAATCTCTTTATCATCTATTCCAACGCCCCCACACATCCTCACAAATATTTTATCTCCATCTCCACTCCAAAAACATTATCATTCCTCTGACCCTCTCTTCTCATCTTCTTATTATGTTTCACTCACAAACTCATCATAATACCAAACCCATCCTGACCAAATATTCTAACCTATATATATATATATAAATTGAATTCAATCTTTTTTTATTATTATTATTTTCTTTTCTTTTTTGTTTTTTAATTCTTTTTTATTTATAAAATATCAAAAATATATTATTTATACCAATTTATACAAAAATATCTAAACAATATATACTAACAAATAAAATTATAAAATACTACAAATTAATAAAATAATAAAAAAGATTTGAGTGATATAAAATAATTTGCTCAAAATGGGTGAGGTTTTGGTGAGGTTTGGGATTAAAGTTTCACTCTAATTTCAGGTGGTTAAAAAAAAATGCCCAAGTCTTAGGGCCGATCAAAATGGAGTGTCTATAGTTGCCTCTCTTTGACAGAGCTCAAAGTCATTTCATGACATGAGCGAATGTCAAAGCCCGAAGACAACCCTTTTGACAAGGCCGTAAGACTTGGGGAAACAAACAAGATGCAATGCAAGTGGTTGAACCCGAAGGTTGCCTACGTATCCCTTTGCAAGGAATCAAACCAACGTAGTTCAGGGGCAAGATGCTAAGGACTCATCCAAGAGAAATCAACAACCTAACGCGTCTCATGCGGAAGGAAGGAAGAAAGGTGGACTGAATAGCAGGCGCACCTGATGTTTTTAACCGAGTAAATCAACCACCTAACGCATCTCACGCGAAAGGAGGAAAGATGGTGAACAAATCCAAATGCGTCTCACGCGAGAGGAGAAATAGTGAACAAATCTCAACGTATCTCACGCATGAGGAGAAAAGTAAAATTAAGATCCAAACGCGTCTCACGCGAGAGGAGAAAAGTGAACTTGAGATCCAAACGCGTCTCATGCTAGAAGAGGAAATTGAACTTGAGATCCAAACGCGTCTCACACTAGAAGAGAAAAGTGAACTTGAGATCCAAACGCGTCTCACGCGAGATGAGGAAAGGTGGGTGTGAACAAACAGGCGCACCTATTGTTTTTAATAGAGTTACAATCCTAACGCGTCGCACGCGAGAGGAGGAGGGATGGTGTGAACAGGCAGGCGCACCTGCTGTTTTTTACCAATTTCCAATCCTAACACATCACACACGAAAGGAGGAGAGGTGGTGTAAACAGACAGGCTCACCTACTGTTTTAAACCGATTTGCAATCCTAACGTGTCACATGCGAGAAGAGAAGGGGTGCATCGCATACAAATGTGCATACCACACAAA